ATCGTAGTGCAGTTTCGGCAACGATGCTGACAGGCGGCGGATACAATCAACTGGAACAGTTACTTACTGGCATGAACGTATCATGCATGTCGAAGAAAATGTATGAAAAATGCCAGGAAGAAATAATTGATGGATTCGAATTGGCCGCACAAAAGGAAATGGAAGATGCTGGCCACCAAGAGAAAGAAATGGCAATTGCACGGGGCGACGTACTTCCCGGATCTAATATACCATGCATCGCAGTTGTTGCAGATGGCAGCTGGATGAAAAGATCTTACCGCGGCGGAGACTATAATTCGCTTTCTGGTGTAGGAGCCATTGTCGGTTATCATACCAAAAAGGTATTATATATCGGCGTGAAGAATAAATTCTGCATGATATGTCAAATAGCAGCTAAGAAGAAAGAAGAACCACATGAGCATCGATGCTTCAAAAACTGGGGCCGTAATCAGAGTTCGGGTGGAATGGAAAGTGCTGCTATAGTCGAAGGATTCAAATGCAGCATACAAATGCATGGCCTAATATATTCCATGTTAGTTGCCGATGGGGACAGCAGTGTGTATAAAAGAATATTGGACAATGATCCCTATAAAGATTACACTGTGCATGTGCGAAAAATTGAATGCACTAATCACCTTCTACGCAATTTCAGTAGGAAAATAAACGAGATTGCTGCAAAAGGTCGGTACAAGGATTTGAGAAATATTATAAAACAGAATGCCCTTCGTCTGCGTACAGGTGTAAAGAAAGCTGCCGAATATCGGTTCAAAGAGAAAGTACGACTTGTGGAACAAATAAGAAACTTGAAAATGGATTTGAAAAATGTGCCAAGTCACGTCTTCGGAGAACACAAGGAATGTGAAAAGTTAGCGTACTTCTGCAAAAAATATTCAGGTGAAACCGAAGTCGATTATATTCCGCAGCTCAAGGAGACTGGTATTTATCAGGCCATTGAGGAAGCAATGCAACCACTTTTCGCCCACGCAGAAAGCTTACTGTATACACTAAATAATAATGCCGTAGAAAGCTTTAACAATATAATTGCTAAATTCATCGGAGGTAAACGAATAAACTTTGGACGAAAAGGATCCTATCAAGGCAGAGTCTCCGCTGCTGTAGTTGAATTCAATTCAAAAGAAGCCCTAAGTAGATTGAATGTTGCAATGGACAAGGAACCAACAGTCCTTGTAAGAAAAGTAGAAAAACGGCGGAAACGTGCAGCAGAAATTGCCAGGAAACATAAAAAAGAAGCCAAAACGTCATCATCACGTTATGAAAAACAATCATGCGATAGAGATTACGGTCCTAGTGCAGAAAAGCCAGATATGGGAGAGACAGTGTTCCTTTCTGAGTGCGAAAGGCACATGGCGGTACTTCGCGAGTGGCAAGCGATACGCCATAAAATTGAAGAAGATACTCGCGATCAAGTGAACAGCGAGAAGTGGATCGCGTATCGTAGGAAATTATTGACTGCATCGAATTTTGGAAAAATATGCAGATTACGAAAAGATACGCCGCGAGCGAATACATTGAAGAGTATATTGTATCCACAAATACAAAATTTACGTGCCTTGGAATACGGAAGGAAGAACGAGGCGAACGCTTTAAAACAATTAGAAGAAGAAACGGGAAGAGCTGTTCTACCGTGTGGACTCTTCATCGATGCGGTTATTCCTTATCTAGGTGCAACCCCGGACGCATTAATGGAAAATGATACGATCGTGGAAGTGAAATGTCCAGAATCGGCGAAGGAATTATCACCGTCCGAGGCAATAGAGCAGCTTCCTGCCATACGACGAATTTTTCGAAGCGATGAAATGAATCAAAAGCATTATTATTATTATCAAGTCCAAGGTCAATTGCACATTACGAACAGGCAAAATGCTTTATTCTGCTTGTGGACACCAAAAGGAATGAAAATCACGAAAGTGGAAAGGGACGACAATTTCTGGGCAACAGAGATGGAAGACAGATTGAGAAGTTTTTATGAGGACTGCATGCTGCCAGAAATTGTTGACAGCAGATTCAACAGAGGCCAGCCGATTAGAGAGCCTCGATACATAAAGGACAAAAATGGTGGAAAAGAAAACACAGGAAATGACAATTTATGAGCGAATGCCACAATTGCACCGACGGGTGCAAATCAGCGCATATGAAGAGCTGTACCATGGCGAGTTGCGACTGCACTTGCAACTGCAAGTGCAATCAGCATACGAAGAGCTGTCGAATGCCACAAATGGCAATCGAATGTCGCAATTGCACCGACGGGTGCAAATCAGCGCATATGAAGAGCTGTGCCATGGCGAGTTGCGACTGCACTTGCAACTGCAAGTGCAATCAGCATACGAAGAGCTGTCGAATGCCACAAGTGGCAATCGAATGTCGCAATTGCACCGACGGGTGCAAATCAGCGCATATGAAGAGCTGTGCCATGGCAAGTTGCGACTGCACTTGCAACTGCAAGTGCAATCAGCATACGAAGAGCTGTCGAATGCCACAAGTGGCAATCGAATGTCGCAATTGCACCGACGGGTGCAAATCAGCGCATATGAAGAGCTGTGCCATGGCGAGTTGCGACTGCACTTGCAACTGCAAGTGCAATCAGCATACGAAGAGCTGTCGAATGCCACAAGTGGCAATCGAATGTCGCAATTGCACCGACGGGTGCAAATCAGCGCATATGAAGAGCTGTGCCATGGCAAGTTGCGACTGCACTTGCAACTGCAAGTGCAATCAGCATACGAAGAGCTGTCGAATGCCACAAGTGGCAATCGAATGTCGCAATTGCACCGACGGGTGCAAATCAGCGCATATGAAGAGCTGTGCCATGGCGAGTTGCGACTGCACTTGCAACTGCAAGTGCAATCAGCATACGAAGAGCTGTCGAATGCCACAAGTGGCAATCGAATGTCGCAATTGCACCGACGGGTGCAAATCAGCGCATATGAAGAGCTGTGCCATGGCGAGTTGCGACTGCACTTGCAACTGCAAGTGCAATCAGCATACGAAGAGCTGTCGAATGCCACAAGTGGCAATCGAATGTCGCAATTGCACCGACGGGTGCAAATCAGCGCATATGAAGAGCTGTGCCATGGCAAAATAATATTGCATCAATATTTATTACATTTAATGAATAAATTATTTTATTCTTTTCAGAAGGAAAAATTAGAAGGAGAAGGAGACGACAAAGGCGCAAGAATTAGTCGCAGTGACCAAGACCACGGATGAAATGGAATTCAAGAAGAGGACCATTTAAATAATAATTAATATATGTAATCAAATGGTAAGAAATAAAAATAATAAAAAACAACAAAAGTGGGTTCTGCAATGTACAGATTACTAGTCTTTCTCGCTGTCCGTTCGTAAACTCGGCACTCGTATCAAAATTGCTTTACATTTTTCGGAATGATTCGCTAAACAACGAGTCAAGTAACCGATCGGCAACGCGCAAGACTGGTGATCAGCAGGCTGTTCATATTTCTATGTACATATTTTTTTCATATTATTTTATGTACATATATTTTCTAAATAAGTGTAAAATTCACGAAATGTGCGTCAATTAAATTATTTTTTAAATTCAAAGTGCATTGATGCGGATGATTCATCCAAGTCGGCATAGGGTAGACGTTTCATTCGTAGGCACTTTTATCCCAGATACCGACAGAATATTCTATTATTATATTATATATTTATCATAATATCATCAACATATGCATTTTGAATTTATAACCATTTGACGCACATTTCATTAATTTTACGAAATAAATTATATATATACATATATATATATATGTATATATA